TTTTTGAGGGATATAGCATGTTTATGCATTAACTTGTTTGATGATATGTTCTAGGTCTTTTGCTATAGTATTTTCAGGGAGGTTTGCAATTGTGGCTACATACTTTTTCCTGTTCTCTTTTGTTTCTCTTGTTTCAAAATATGGGAAAATTTTTATGTGGTAGTTTTTGTATAATATAAATCATTTTTGATTAAATTCTTGATAATTATTCATATTGTACAATGTAATGGTACCAGATAAATAGAAATTGGCTTCTTGGATTGTGATTTAATTGATTGGTTCATAGTTTGTCAATGCTGTTGCTATATCTTTTTTGGTGAAATTTGTGGGAATATTCCAGATGTGTATTGTGTGTATAAGTGCTTCTTTTGTATCTGTAGCTTTAACTTTTTTGAAGAAATATTGTCTCCTTCTATGAGAGGATTGTACATGCTTGTTCTGCTTTATCGTGATTTCCAAAGAGTGCTACTAGTATTTCTTCTCCTGTGTGGTTTTCATATCTTGTGTATTTGTATAAGGGGATTTTGCCACCTTCTTAATATATTGAAGTTTCTCTGTTGAAGTAACTTCTGGAATTTTGATGGGATCTATAACGATTTTGCAAGTCTGATATGTTTTGTAGTGGTAGTATCTTTTTTTTTGATTGATTGATCTTTGTCTATGAAGCTGTATTCTTGGTTAATGATGTTTTTGCCTTTGTCTGTTTTTGTATAAGGCTGCTTTATATCTGACTCTTCTTTTGTGTCTATCATTTCCTGGCTTTGGGGAGCTTCTTTTATATTGGTGTTCTTGGTGACTATTGTTTCTAAAATTGTCAGGAGAGGATATTGAGTTGAGAATTAGGTGTTGGTTATTGTTTGCATATTGTTAGGTTGGGTGGGTGACATGTTATTGTTGCTAAGAATTTCTTGGTTGTTAAACGTGTTCATGTTGGTGCTGTTGTTTTCTTCATTGTTGTTGATATTTTTGTTGTTGTTGTTGGTTTGGATTGGACGTGTTGGTTTTTTTTAAGATGTGTTGTCTGTTGTCAAGTATGAAGCAAAAGTGGTTGTAGGTGCTGTTTTTTCTTCATCACTTTTTTGCTTGCCTTGGACAATTTGTTTAGGTTGTATTCCGGTGTCTGTTCTCTAGAAAGGCTTCTAAGGTCTCTAGAAGATGACATCTTGAATGTCCTGGATGTTTCAAAGTTTCTTTTTTCTTGAGTTGCCAAAAAAGGAAATTTTTAGGGATTGGGATGGAAACAGGAAAGAGTTTTTTTTTTTGTAATAAAACTTATATTTAATACTTGTTAAAAAAATAAATAAATAAAAATAATAAGAATAATGCAAACAATATTAATTTTGCAAATAAATTATATACTTATTGACATAGTTAAAGATATATAGTATATAATAATAGCTTTGCATTTTGAACATTTATTACAAAAAATTTTTTTTTGTTAATGGTGTTTTTATTATTGATTCTACAACATTAAACATAATAAAAAATTTTATTAATCTTTATAGGAAATATGTTTATTTTAATTAATTATTTTTGAAGATTTTAAATAAAATTGAATTGTTAATAATTATAAAAAATTTTTGCAGCAAAAGTTACAATAAAAGAATTACAAATTTTCAAAACAAACTTTTATATATTATATTAAAACTACTTATGGTTAAATTTATAGTTATTAGGTTTAATGAAATTTAATAGTAATGTAGAATTTGATTATAATTTCAAAAAACCAATTTATAATGTAAGGATTAGATATTGCTTTTAAATCATTATCATTTAAAAATTTCATAAATATTATTAATTGTAAAACAGATTATTTTACCTTAAGTACAATATTTTACGGTAATAACCAAGAGTGTCTCTTATGAATAGTATCCCTACACACAATACTATATTCTGTTTTTACATAATCATCAGCGCTCTACACACTTCATCGCCCGTTTATGTCCCTTTTCCGCGGCCATTCTCAAATATTTCAATCCCTCTTCTAT